TTTTTTCTGGTTCTAAATGTCCTTTAAAAATATATTTTTTAAAAAATCCACGTTTCTGGTACTGAATGTCCTTTAAAAATATTTTTTAAAAAATTAACGTTTCTGTTTCAAAGTGTCCTTTAAAAATATTATTTAAAAAATCCACGTTTCTAGTTCTGAATGTCCTTTAAAAATATTCTTTAAAAAAATCCATGTTTCTGCTGCTGAATGTCCTTTAAAAATATTCTTTAAAAATCCACGTTTCTGGTATTGAATGTCCTTTAAAAATATTCTTTAAAATCCAAGTTTCTGGTTCTAAATGTCCTTTAAAAATATTCTTTAAAAATCCAATTTTTTCTGGTTCTAAATGTCCTTTAAAAATATTCTTTAAAAATTCAATTTTTTCTGGTTCTAAATGTCCTTTAAAAATATTCTTTAAAAAATCCACGGTTCTGGTACTTCAACGTTTCTGTCCTTCAAAAATATTCTTTAAAAAATCCACGTTTCTGGTTCCAAACGTCCTTTAAAAATATTCTTTAAAAAATCCACGCTTCTGTTTCTAAATGTCCTTTAAAAATATTTTTTAAAAAATCCACGTTTCTGTTTCTAAATGTCCTTTAAAAATATTCTGTAAAAAAGCCACGTTTCTGCTATTGAATGTCCTTTAAAAATGTTATTTAAACAATCCCCGTTTCTGCTATTGAATGTCCTTAAAAATATTCTTTAAAAAATTCACGTTTCTGGTATTGAATGTCCTTAAACATATTCTTTAAAAAATCCATGTTTCTGCTATTGAATGCCCTTTAAAAATATTTTTTTAAAAAATCCACGTTTCTTGCATTGAATGTCCTTTAAAAATATTCTTTAAAAAATCCACGTTTCTGTTACTGAATGTCCTTTAAAAATATTCGTTAAAAAATCCACGTTTCTGGTATTGAATGTCCTTTAAAAATATTCTTTAAAAAAATTCACGTTTCTGGTACTGAATGTCCTTTGAAAATATTCTTTAAAAAATACACGTTTCTGCTATTGAATGTCCTTTAAAAATGTTATTTAAAAAAATCCCCGTTTCTGCCATTGAATGTCCTTTAAAAATGTTCTTTAAAAAATCCACGTTTCTGGTACGGAATTTCCTTTAAAAATATTCTTTAAAAAAATCGACGTTTTTGGTACTGAATATCCTTAAAAATATATTTTTTAAAAAAATCCACGTTTCTGGCACTGAATGTCCTTTAAAAATATTCTTTAAAAAATCCACGTTTCTGGTACTGAATGTCCTTTAAAAATATTTTTTTAAAAATCCGCGTTTCTGTTGCTGAATGACCTTTAAAAATATTCTTTAAAAAATCCGTTTCTGTTTCTAAATGTCTTTGAAAATATTCTGTAAAAAAGCCTCGTTTTTGCTGTTGAAGGTCCTTTAAAAATATTCTGTAAATCCTTAATCCTCTTTCAAAATTTCGCTTAAACAAAAAATCCCCTATCATATTCTTAAATATCCCTCTTCAAGGCTCTCCATCCAGCTCATCGGAATTCCCCTTTGACCTGACTTTATGGCATTAGCCGTAGCTATTTAAATATATTTTTGCTAAGAGTATTTAATTTTTTTTCTGCAACGAAAAATTATGGCTCTGCTAGTCCCCTGAGCGTGTGTTGACATCATTTCCAGCTTGTTCATTTCGTAAAACACAAACATTTTCTTGTACATACTTTTAGGTGCCTGGTGGCACCTACCATCTATATTCACATATTTATTAGGAGCAAATGTTTGCCAGAGGCATTAAGCGGTGGGGGATGGAGGATGGTTGTGTGGGCCCCAATATTTTTATTCTATGACAAAGAGAAAAAAGGACATCAGATTAACCTAATAATGACTGGATATTTGCCAGTTTGCTGTCGTCTAATATTAATATCCTATATGTACATAATAAGACACAGACATGTATATCTAGACATGTAGTGGTGACGGATGTGAGGGAATGTGCGACGCTTTCAATTTCATTAGAATGAAATTAATACTTTTTTCCACCTCCCCTTCTCTTCTGCCCCGCCAATACTTGATATACGATATCATGAAGATATTAGATGGGGATCCTTGTTAAAGGAGTGGCCGTATGTAATTTCTTTGTTTGCTCATTTGTTTGCCAGCGCCTTGGGATGAGGAGCTGGGAGGCAGAGAAGGGGATTAGAGAGAGAGGGAGAGAGCTAGGGGTAATAGTTTTTGCTGGGAGTGTTTTACAACAAATTATTTTTCTTTTATGGCTTTGCGGTTGCAGAAGCTGGCGTAATGACATTAGGTTGCTGCTTGGTGGCTGGGAAATAATTCTCCTTTGGAGCTCTCCTCCTGCTCTCTTTCTTTCTTTAATGAGTCGAGTAGGTGTTAGGGCTGTAACATTTTTGTAAAGGCTTTCAACGCCTATTTTCATCCTCCCCACATGTCGTCCATTTCATTTAATTGCAGGAAATTAGCAAAGATTTTCATTTAAGCGAAAGTCACAGATGTGTGTTGCATACTTTTAGGGAAAAAGTTGGATTAGAACATATGGTGAGATTTATTGTGGGATATATTCATTATTTAAAGGTGAATTGGAATGAAACTTTATTTTTGTGTATAAATTATTTTTCCAGATCAGTAAAATACAAGTCTTGAGAGCCCCTTGAAATACTCTTTAAAAATTAATCCTTTAAAAATATTCTTTAAAAAATATTAGTTTCTTGTGTTGAAGGTTCCACAAAAATATTCTGTAGAGGATGAAAGGGCCTTCAAAATTATTGTTTAAAATGTCTTCTGTTTCATTTAATTGCTAGAAATTACCAACGATTTTCACTTACGCAAAATTCACAGATGTGTGCTGCATACTTTTAGGCAAAAAGTTGAAATAGAACTATTGATGAGATTTATTGTGGGATATATTCATATATTCAAATATTCTTTAAAAATTCCTAGATATTGCTGTTGGAGTTCTCATAAAAATATTTTTTAAAGCCTTAAGGGTCCTTTAGAAATATTCTTTGACAATATTCACGTTTCTGTGATTGAAAGTCCTTTAAAATATTCGGGAAAAATCAACCTTTTTAGACTTTTGGGTCCTTTAGAAATATTCGTAAAAAACTCTAAAAATATATATTTTTTAAATCCTTTTTTTGAGGCTTAGGAGTTCTACGAAATATTCCTAAAACCTACCATCTTTAAGAAGCCTTTAAAAAAATATGGGGATTAAGGGTCCTCTAAAATTATTATTTAAGAAATCCTTCAAATACCCTTTAAAAATAAATCATTTTAAAATAAGTTTCTTATGTTGAGGGTAAAAATATTTTTTAGAGGTTTAATGGTCCTTTAAAAATATTCTTTAAAATATCCACGTTTCTGGTATTGAATATCCTTTAAAAATATTCTTTAAAAAATCCACGTTTCTGGTATTGAATGTCCTTTAAAAATATCCCTTTAAAAATCCACGTTTCTGGTATTGAATGTCCTTTAAAAATATTCTTTAAAAAATCCACGTTTCTGGTATTGAATGTCCTTTAAAAGTATTCTTTAAAAAATCCACGTTTCTGGTATTGAATGTCCTTTAAAAATATTATTTAAAAAATCCACGTTTCTGGTATTGAATGTCCTTTAAATTATTCTTTCAAAAATCCACGTTTCTGGTATTGAATGTCCTTTAAATTATTCTTTCAAAAATTCACATTTCTGGTATTGAATGTCCTTTAAAAATATTCTTTAAAAAATCCACGTTTCTGCTATTGAATGTCCTTTAAAAATATTCTTTAAAAAATCCACGTTTCTGGTATTGAATGTCCTTTAAAAATATTCTTTAAAAAATCCACGTTTCTGGTATTGAATGTCCTTTAAAAATATTCTTTAAAAAATCCACGTTTCTGGTATTGAATGTCCTTTAAAAATATTCTTTAAAAAATCCACGTTTCTGGTATTGAATGTCCTTTAAAAATATTCTTTAAAAAATCCACGTTTCTGGGACTGAATGTCCTTTAAAAATATTCTTTAAAAAATCCACGTTTCTGGTATTGAATGTCCTTTAAAAATATTCTTTAAAAAATCCATGTTTCTGGTGCTGAATGTCCTTTAAAAATATTCTTTAAAAAATCCACGTTTCTGGTATTGAATGTCCTTTAAAAATATTCTTTAAAAAGTCCACGTTTCTGGTATTGAATGTCGTTTAAAAATATTCTTTAAAAAATCCACGTTTCTGTTTCTAAGTGTCCCTTAAAAATATTCTTTAAAAAATCCACGTTTCTGACATTGAATGTCCTTTAAAAATATTTTTTAAAAAATCCACCTTTTGAGACCTGAGTGTCTTCGGCCTAAGGACACTTTTTATAGAAAAGATCAAATATTTGAGTTAATTGAAAATTGAAATGTTTTAAAAATATGGAAATGTTTTAAAAAATATGGTGCATACTTTTAGGAGATTTTTAATTTTTGAAATCTGAGGGTCTTCGGTCTAAGGACACTTTTTTACAGAAAAAATAAAATATTTGACGTAATTGAATATTGAAATGTTTTAAAAAATGGTGCATACTCTTAGGAGATTTTTCATTTTTGAGGGCTGAGCGTCTTCGGACTAAGGACACTATTTTTATAGAAAAGATCAAATATTTGATTTAATTAAAAATTTCAATGTTTTAAAATAAGGATACATACTAAGGATACATCTTTAAAGATTGAAGATCTTTTAAAAAATTTGGTGCCTACTTTTAGGGGAGTTAAAGAAATTTTGAAAAATCACTTGACTTCATGTATTGCCATACAGTTTAAATTTAATTTTCAAAATTTTGAAAGAAATTTCAAAATTTCTCTGACAAGCAAAATAAAATTTAGTCTCTCCAAAATTTTATTTTTTTCAATACCCAAATTTTCCTTAAAATTTCAAAATTTATTTCCTCGAAAATAATGTTCAAATCCTCCGGTGATGAATTCATATCTCTCCTAATTTACGGCTGCTATCTCAAATTCAAACACGAAATAATGCCCAAGTTTTCGCAATTCTTGTCTTTTGTAGAACAACAAAAACGTCGACGATTTCATCCGTTACGTAATCTCAGGCGTATTTTTCGACGACGTACCATAACAACAACAAGCACAGCAACGCCATCCCCTTCGGCTGGAGCAACAGATACACCACCCACCTCAGCTGGTCTCCTACAGACACCGACGGCGCCCGCCAGCACCAGTACCAGTGAGAAGAATCTACGCAGTGCCACTCTCTCGTCCGTTGCCTCAGTGGCATCGGCTTCCTCACCCTCCTCACCGTTGACCCATCAGCAGTTGCATGACGCCTTTTTGACCCAATCGCTGCCGAAATCAAAATCTTCCTATATCTCACTCTTGGGTGTGGGCAAACACAAAAGTCATGATCCAAATTTAAATGCCGAATCGAAAAGCAAATCGAAACATAAAAATAAAAAACAACAACAGCAGCAGCAGCAGCAACAACAATCCAAAGATTTTGACCAATCCGTAGATCCCACGGAAGAGGACGAAGAGAATATGTTTGGTACAACAACGGCACAGACCACGTCGTCATATCATCATCAGCAGCAGCAGCATCATGTGTCGATGTCATCGACCAGCTCCTCGTCGGTGATGGGCGGGGGGAACAAATCCTCGCTGCTTAATCAAAGGCAATCAATAGGCGTGGCTGTTTTTCCCGGTGCCATGCAAAGGAATTTCTTTGCCGAACGTCAGAAGCTGCGCAGCGTTGGAGACTCTTCACAGGACTTGGATAGCGGTAGTGGCAATGACAGTGGCACCGGGGGTGGTGGTAGCGGCGGTGGTGGTCACACCAGCTTGGCGGCCAAGAACAGCAGTGCCAGTGGCGGTGAAATGTCCGACAGTCAGAGGAGTTTGAGTGAAGGACGACTGATTGATAGGTGAGTTGAGATTGGAGAGAATTCCAAATCAATTTCCAAATTTGAAAAAAAATTGAAATTTACATTTTCTATGTTTCAGTGACTATTCCCGCGATGGTCTCTCTCAATCCCATGACAGTGTATTCTCAGAATCCGCAACAGCCAGCAGTTTGTCCATTGTACTAAAGGTAAGTTATACAAATAAGGTAAATTATAAGGTTCTATGCCTCTAAAAACTATCCTCATATTTTTTTAAATACCCAATTTAAAAAAAAATCCCCAAATGTGGGGAAGTTTAAAAAATGTATAGAAACCTTTAAAAATTTATTACTTATGAAAATGATCCATAATATGATTGCTTGTCAATAAATTCCCAAAATTTTGTTAAAAAATCCCCTGATTGGGGATTTTTAAAAAATCGGAGAAATTTAGTAAAAACTCTTAAATAGCATTAAAAATTAACATCTGACTATTTGACACTGAAATTCCAATTACAAAAAAAAAAAAAAAAGAATGGTACAAAAATCCCCTTTTTTGGGAATTTTTGAAAGTGGTGGGGAAATTATTCAATTATTACGAATGAACAAGTTTCGAGACTAAAAGTTACATTCCTTATTTTCTTACAAAAATCCCCAAAGTGGGTATTTTTTCAAATGACTCCAAGTGTTATTTAATCTTCACAAATTTTTTGAGAAATATCAAAATATTACATTTCCCGATAAAAATTTGAATTTCTAAATTTTCTTTTCAAAATCTCCAATATGGGGATTATTTCAAAATACCGTGAATGCTTTGAAAACTTCCTAAACTCTTTAGTAAAGGCACATTTGTTTAAAAAAATCTTAAAAAAAAAAACAAAATCCATTAATTAGTAGTTCTTTGTTTTGGTAGTTGCCACTTTATAAAAATGGATCACAGAAGATGTATATATATTTTTTTAAATAACACTAAGAATTACAAAACATAGCAATTTTTCATAAATAACATTAAATAAACACCTTTTCCCCGATAAAATTATGAATTTCTAATTTTGGTATAGAAAAATTCCCAAAATGGAGATTTTTCCAAATTGCCCAAAAACTATTGCCCAAAAATAGCAAGTTTTGGGTTGTATAAGACATTGAATAGACTCATAATTTGATATCCCATTTTTTATAAAAATCCCCAAAGTGGGTATTTTTTTTCAACACCTGAAAATATTGAAAACTTTATAAAATCTTTAAAAAAAATATCGAAAATTATTCCTATTTTTTATAAATTATTCCAATTTTTTTTAAAAAAAAATTCCCCCTGTTTTTGGTAGTTGCCACTTTAAAAAAGTGATTTACAAAACAATGGGGATATTAAGAAATGACATGTTTTGGTTTATATAACATATTTAATAAACTCATTTCAAGATTAAAATTTAAATTCCCATTCTTTATAAAAATTCCCAAAGTGGGGATTTTTTTTCAACGCCTGAAAATTTTTGAAAGCCTTATAAAATCATGAAATAATATCGAAAAATCAATTCTAGCGAATAAAAAAAAATCCTATTTTTTATAAAAAATTCCCCCAGTTTTTGTTAGTTGCCACTTTAAAAAAGTGATTTACAAAAAATGGGGATATTAATCAATGACATGTTTTGGTCTTTTTTAACACATTAAATTTGACGATTATAACTTGAATTCCCAATTTCTTTGAAGAATCCCCATTTTGGGGATTTTTTTTTCAAAATGACAAAATACTTGGAAATGTATGAAACTTTATAAAAACGGTAAAAATATTTAGAAAAATACATTTTGCGATGAAAATTTGAATTCCTGAATTTTATTTCGAAATCCCCAAATTGGGATTATTACAAAAGTCTGGACCTTTGTAATGTTTGTAAACTTCTAAAAATCGTGAAGTGAAAACAAAAATACTTGAACATAGAAATTTCAGTCGAATCGGATAAATTTTAGTAGAAAAAAATATAAAATCCCAGTTTCTAGTAGTTGCCACATTCAAAAAAGTGATCCCCCCAAAAAATGGGGATATTAAGCAATAGCAAGTTTTGGTTTATTAAACACATGAATAAACTCATTTGACGATTATAACTTGAATTCCCAAGTTTTTTAAGAATCCCCATTTTGGGGATTTTTTTCAAAATGCTTGGAATTGTTTGAAAACCTTATAAAATCTCTAAAAAATATCATACAAACACATTTCGCGATAAAAATGTGAATTCCTAAATTTTCTTTTCAAAATCCCCAAAGTGGGATTTTTTTTTTTTTTGAAAAATGATGCGAAAACGTGTGAAAATTATAAAAATTTCAAAAATTAAATAACGTTTAAAAATTGCAAAAATTCATATTTTCCACCAACAATTTAAATTCATAAAATTTGCTATTAAAATATCCCGGATTGGGGATTTTTCAACAATAGAGGGGAAAGGTTAGATACTGTATTGAAACCACGAAAAAACTATTATATTGCGAAAATATCCCAGATCTGACAGTCTTTTAATGTTTGAATTCCTAAAAATTGTATACGAAAATTCCCCATCTGGGCATTTTTGAAACGTGCCGGGGAAACTTTTCAAAATTATAAAAAAACATTTTAAAATGTCCGTAATGTTTACAGAAAGCAATGCCACATATCAAATGGTCATCAAAATGAAAGTTCCTAAAATTCCAGTTTTTGGTGGTTGCCACTTTTGAAATATAATAAAGTAGGGATGTTTGAAAATTGCTAAAAGCCACAAAATATTGCTAAAATTCTTAAATATTATCGAATAAAACACACTTTTACCATTTAAATTTGAATTCCTAGTTATTATAAACAATTCCCCAAGTTGGGGATTTTTTTCCAAATTGCTGGGAAATGTTTGAAATATTTATAGAACCTCTAAATAAAAATTAAAATGTTAGGGAAATTAGATTAAACTGAAAAATCTTAAAAATTCCTGTTGTGGGTAGTTGCCACTGTTGATAGTTATTATCCCAGGAAGTGGGGATGTTTAAAAATGGATTTAGGCTTCGAAGATTAGGAAGAATTTCTAAATAATACCGAAGAAAACACATATCTTGAATAAATTTGCAATTCCTATTTTTTTTTATAAAAATCCCCAAAGTGGAGATTTTTCCTAACCTCCCGGAAAATGAGTGAAAATTCATGAAATTATTATGATACCATTAAATGTAGACAAAAGGGTCTGGAAAATTAAGATAACTTAAAAAAAGTATGTCGTTGGTCCTATTTTGGTAGTTGCCACTTCATATAAAGGGATACCAAAAAGGGGGAACATAACTAGGAAAGTTTAAATTTAGCAAGTTTTGTATAATAAAAATAAAATAAAAACTTATTTCCCGAGACAAATTCAATTTCCCACTTTTTTTTAAAAAAAAATCCCAAAAGTGGGGATTTTTTTAAATGGAGGAAAATTTTTGGAAATTTCATAAAATCTTTGAATTAAGGCCACAATGCCAAGAAAAAAATATCCCAAGAAGTTTTGCAAAAAATTAGTCATAGAATGTTTTTAAGAGTTGCCACTTGAAAAACAAAATATGCTACAAAACGGGGATAAATAAAATTGCAAATCTTTTTTGCTCCAATAATATTGAATAAACACATTTCCCCTTAAAAATTCGGACTCCAATTCATATTTATGAAAATCCCCAATCTGGGGATTTTTTTAAATGACGGAAAATGTTTAATGGCTTTGAAAAATGTTTAAATGTACACAAAATAGTTTACAAAAATTATATTTCTCGAAAAAATTTAAAATGTCATTAAAATGTCTTTTGATGTTGCCACTTATAAAATAGGATCCTCGAAGATGGGCATTTTTTTAAAATAGTAATAAGAATTACAAATAGATCAAGTTTACATAAATAACATAAAAAACATTTTTTCTGATTAAAATTTGAATTCCTTATTTTTATATAAAAATACCCAAAGTGGGGATTTTCTTAAAATGCCCCAAAAATGTTAGAAAACTTTCAAATATCTCAAAAAAAGGTAAAATTGCTTAAAATAATTAGATAAACCCAAGAACTTACAAAATTTTTAATTTTTGGTGTTGCCACTAAGGGTATATATGATTCCCGTAAGTGAATTTTCCAGTAAAATTGCTTAGATATTTGATAGAATATTCGAAAATATTACAAATGAATACATTTCGAGACTAAAAGTTACATTCCTGATTTTCTTACAAAAATCCCAAAGTGGGGATTTTTTTCAAATGACTGGAAATGTTTGAAAACTTCATAAAATCTTGGAAAAATATCGAGCAAATACATTTCCCGATGAAAATTTGAATTCTTAAATTTTCTTTTCAAAATCTCCAATATGGGGATTATTTCAAAATACCGGAAATGCTTTGAAAACTTCCTAAACTCTTTAGTAAACGTACATTTGTTAAAAAAAAAATCTTGAAAAAAAAAACAAAATCCAGTAATTAGTAGTTCTTTGTTTTGGTAGTTGCCACTTTATAAAAATAGATCACAGAAGATGTATATATATTTGTTTAAATAACACTAAGAATTACAAAACATAGCAATTTTTCATAAATAACATTAAACAAACACCTTTTCCCCGATAAAATTATGAATTTCTAATTTTGGTATAAAAAATTCCCAAAATGGGGATTTATTCAAATTGCACCAAAAATTTTTAAAACTTCCAAAAATCTTGAGATAAAGTTAAAAAAAGTTTAAATAAGACAATTTCATAAAAAATAATGAAAGCCCATTTTATTTTAGTAGTTGCCACTTTGTAAAAAAAAAGCTTCACGAAATGTTACGATTTTGTTGAATGCCTCTAAGAACTTAAAATATGACAACCAATACAGCATTAAATAAACTCATTTCTCAATTAAAATTTGAAATCCCATATTTTATATAGAAATCCCCATTTTGGGCATTTTTCTAAAACGCCCGAAAAATGTTAAGAAAATCTTATATTAACGTGAAAGTGAAAACAAAAATACTTGAACATAGAAATTTCAGTCGAATTGGGTAAATTTTAGTAGAAAAAAATATAAAATCCAAGTTTTTGGTAGTTGCCACTTTGAAAAAGTGATTCCCGAAAAATGGGGATATTAAGCAAGGCCAAGTTTTGGTTTACAAAACACATGAATAAACACATTTGACGATTATAACTTGAATTCCTAAGTTTTTTTAAGAATCCCTATTTTTGGAGATTTCTTCTAAATGCCCGGAAATGT